CTGGGGGAAGACTGCACACACTCTGCTGGGCATCAAAGAGCATTTATGTGTATTGTGTATCATACTTCCTGTGGCTTGCAGCCCTGCAGGTCTCTGATCAGCCCAGCTGTGGGGGACTACCCCGCATGGGCAAACCGCCTGGGACTCACTGTGTAAACACCTGAGGTGTGTGTGTAGGGGTGAGGGGGGGTGAGAGAGAGAGAGACAGAGAGAGAGGTGAGAGAGAGAAGGAGAGAGAGACTCCAAGGTCAGGAGGCTGACATTGAGAGAGCACCTACTCCGTGCCAGGCACTACCTTCTAGGCTGAGAGGAAGCAGAGTCACGGCCCTCAGCTTCGAGGACAGCATAGCTTTCCCCAAACTAGGAACCCCAAAGGCTCCTTCAAGTGTGTCAGACCATAGAGTCCTTATGAAAAGGAGAAGAGAGAAGGAAAAAGAGGAGAACAATGCAGCAATAACCTCGGTGTTCCACACATTCAGTTTCCATCCTCTCCCAAACCTTTGCAGTCGGTGAGCCCATTTCTCAGATAAAAAAATGGAAGTGAGGTGAGGTGCCCAGATCCAAACAACCACTGAATGGGGGAAGCTGCCATTTGAACTTGGGGCTGTGGAGTTTCTTGTTTCTTTTCACTGGGTTTATTGGGGTGACCCTGGTTAACAAAATTACACAGATTTCAGGGGCACAATCCCACAACAAATCATCTCCACACTGTTGTGTGGTCACCACTCCAGTCAGATCTCCACCTGTCACCATTTATCCCCCATTAAACCCTCCTCCACCTGCTCTCTCTGCCCTCCCCTGGCAACCACCATGCTGATTGTCCATGCCCATAGGCTTTTCCTTTTGCTTTCTATTTTGCTCAATCCCTCTACTCTCCCACTCAGCATCCCATTCCCCAATGGCAGCTGTCTGCCTGCTCTCTCCCAATGAGTCTATCTCTGTTTCACTTGTTAGTTCCGTTGGTTCATTAGATGCCACATACGAGTGAGATCATACGGTACCTGTCTTTCTCCGACTGGCTTATTTCACTTAGCGTAGTACTCTTCAGACTCATCCGTGCTGGTGCAAATGGTCAGATTTCCTTCTGCTTTACGGCCGAGTAGTATTCCGTTGTGTGAATGTGCCACCACTTTTTTACCCACTCCTCTGCGATGTGCACTTGAGCTGCTTCCAAATCTTGCACAGCTACCAACATGGGGGTGCCTATATTCTTTCAAATTAGTGTTCGGGGTTTCTTCAGACAAATTCTCACAAGTGGAGTCGCTCGGTCATGAGGCAGTTACATGTTTAATTGTTGAAGAACCTCCATCCATGCTGCTTTCCACGGCGGCTGCACCAGGCTGCACCCCCACCATGGTGCACGAGGCTCCCCTTCTCCACACGTGCTATTTGCTGATTTGCTGACAGCAGCCGCTCTGACAGGGTGAGGGGATGTCTCACTGTGATTTTAGTTTGGGGGGCTGTTTCCTAGCCTGGGCAGTGCGCTCTGTGGACAGGCAGCTGGGACCTGGACTCCATCAGCCTAAGTCAGCCCTCTCAGGGCCGAATAGTCCTGGTGGGGGGGGGGGTGGCATCCTGTGCACAGTAGGGTGTTTGGCAGCATCCGTGGCCACAACCCACTAGAAGGCCATAGCACCCCACATGCAGTTGTGACCAAATGGCCCCCGGAGGACAAAATCACCCCAATTGAGAATCACTGGCCCAGGTGCTTACCCTGGTCCCACTGCTTCTCAGGGACAGGACATTGGACAAGCAGCTACCCGCTCTGGACCGCAGGGTCCGCATCTGTAAAATGGGAAAATGCTAGCACGTGGGGTTGATAGGAGGACCCACCATGGATGGGCTCAGGACGCGGCTCTTTGCCCCGCTGCCGCCTGCTGCTCTCCCCACCCCCGGACCCCAACTCGGGCAACGTGCCTATGGGAATGCCGTGGGAACCAGCTCCCAACACGGGAATGAGGGCTGTTCAAGTCCAGGTGTAGTGCAGAGGCTGACGGGGGTGCCCTGCGGCCCCTCTCTCCCCTGCCAGGCGGTGTAGACTCCACGGCCAGGCTGTCAGGTCCATGCCCGGCTCTGCTGCTCCCAAGCTCCGTAGTCCTAGGCTGTGGGTCAGCCTCTTCATGCTTCCATCGCCTTGTTCATGAGCGGGTAATAAAGTGCCCGCCCCCGGGCTGAGCATCAGCTGAACGAGCTGGTGAAGACAGGGCCTGTGTGACAGCACCTCACAGCTCCAGGGCCCTCACCACAAGAGCGCCTCTCTCTCCTCCCCGGTGCCAAGCACTGCCCCATTCCCAGGCCCAGGCGGGAGCCAGCCCCTCTGCCTGGCACACTCTTCCTCCTGGCGTGAGAGGTGCTCCAACTCTGACTGCTTCATCTGGTCTCTCTCCATCAGCCTCCTCCAGGAAGCCCTCCTGGATCACTCCGAGTAACACAGCTTCGTCACTGCTCTCGCTGTTTCCCGTGGCGTCACATCGATCATGGCCGCCTGGTGGGACAGTTCAGGCTGCACAGGGCCACGCACGGCCATCCGCCCGGCCCAGTCCGGCCCATCTGAGTGTCTCTCCCCCTGAAAAGCAGCTCAGGACACAGAGCCCCGGGTGGGTGACCAGATCCCTGGAACAGTGCCCACCACACGGTCATGTAAACAATCGAACAGACTGGTATTTTTCAGAAGGGGCTTCCAAAATCCTCACATAGCCCATATTTCCCGACACAGAGACGATGTGAACGGGGGTCTAGAACGATGTTTGCCACGAAAGCTTTGGCCTCTAACCGCCTGTCTAAAACAGCTGCATTTTTGGGAAGTCCAGGTCAAGCGGAGTTTCTCAAACGGGGTTCCCTGACACTGTGGTCTGGGGAGAGCCGGGATAAGGAATTCCCCTTTTAACAGAGTTCGCCAGAGCGGAGAGTGGGAAACAATGCAGACTCCTCTCCTGCGAGGGGCTTCTCGCTGCACAGGGACCGCTCCAGGCCGTCCGGGGAGGAAAGGGCACTGAGCCTTGTTTTTCCCTGGACTCCATCCACTTGTATGTGCGCCACGGAGCACAATGGACAGCGGAGCCTGAGGCCAGGGAGCTGTGTCCACGTGTTCAAGGTCACACAGCCACTTCCTGAACCACAGAGCAGGCACCTTGCACTGTCCCAGTGCTTCCCTGGGCCCCATTTCGCTCTCAGCTCACAGGAGAAAGGAAACTCAAACTCCAACATCACTTTGACTAAATCATATAGGAAAATGAAATGTTCCAAGTCATACATGAAAATGAATGTTTCAAATAGGATTTGCTTTCCATTTCGCCATTCTGAACAGTCACTTACTCATTCAACAAACAACTGTTACACATCACGTGCCGGGCACTGCACACTTTACAGAGAATGAGACAAGCTGACCAGTGGACTCGAACAATGAAGTAATCCCTAAAAGGAGCCAAATGGATTGAGTGGGTCTCGATAAACCTGCTTCAAACGGGAGGCCAGCTGTAAGGAATTGCACATCCACATTTCCTTTGCTCTCGCCAACAGTGCTCAGACTCAGCTCCGACGGCAGCGCACTGCCCTTGACCAGGATGGTTCTGGAACACGCCCTTCCCCCCCTTTCTGTGCAGATTTCCGGGAGGGGGGATGACTGGACCTCATTGGGCATTTTTGGGGAGCCTCTCAATGCATAGGTTTTTCAAGTTCGTTCAAATGTCATCTCTCGCTCCTACGTTTTAGTTCAAGTGCATTCCCTCATTGCTTGTTGTCTGCAAATAAAAACCCCTGTTTCAAACTGGGATTTGGTTTTCAAAGCAGGTCAGCATGTCCAAGTCCCTCCGGACGCATGGTTGGTCAGAAGTCTGTGTCTAATAAAAAATTCTGAGGCATCGGAAGCTCTTGAAGATCCCCTGGCCCATGCGCTGGCCAGGTGCTCGGTGGTGGAGCATCAGCCTGCCACCAAAGTGTCGATGGGTTCATTCCCGGTCAAGGGCACGTACCTGCATTGCAGGTTTGTTCCCCTACCCCAGCCAGGGAGTGTGCACAACCAATCAATGTGTTTCTTTCACATCAATGTTTCTCTCTCTCTCCTCCCTCCTTCTTCCACTCTCCTACTCTCTCTAAAAATCAATGGAAAAACTATCCTCAGGTGGGGATTAACAAGAAACAAACGAAAAGATCCTTCGGCCTGCGTGCCTCTTTGAGGCCAAGCTGTTTGTAAAGGAGAGAAGCGGAACATGTGGGTCCAGACCCAGCAAGGCCCTCCGGACTTTGAAAGGATGCGTTCATGGTTTCTGCAGGAGCATCCTGCAGACCTATCTGGCAAAGCAAGAGAGTCACCATCACACACGTAATCTGTGTTTATTAGATACCAGGGCACGTCGGGAAGAATTCCTCAGCTGTCAGAGGGCACGGAGAGCAGTGCTGCTTAAGCACAGGCCCTGGGAAGCAAGATACAGGAGGGCCGCCCACCCCATCAGCACTGCACACACACTGAACCTGTTTAAAAAGCGGCCCGGCCCAAGGCACTGAACCATCCACCTGTTTAAAGGGCCAGGGAGGAGTGTATATTTTTAAGACCAAGTACCATTTTTTTTTTTTTTTTTTTGGTAAGAACCAAACATCACCTCTAAAAGGACCATCGGCCCTCACCTGCCAGACTGGGGTGTATTAGACTGAGTTTGTCCCAATTGCTTCTGCCAATTCTTTCAACAACAAACCAATCAGGTAAGGTTTCTAAGCACAAACGCTACCACACAGAGCGCGGAGCGATGATGATCCTGCAACACTGGACATGTGTGCGTGTGTGTGTGTGTGTGTGTGTGTGTGTAAATGTGTGTGTGCAAATGTGTGTGTGTGTAAATGTGTGTGTGTTCCCTGTGCTCTGTAGTGTCTGGCAGCTCTGTATGTCCACGAAGGGCATTTTTATGCAGTTCAGTGTGTGTGTGTGTGTGTGTGTGTGTGTGTTTTCTCCGTGTTCTGTAGTGTCTGGGCGGCTCTGTATGTCCACGAAGGGCATCTGTATGAGTCTAATGGAACCCACTTGAGGTGAAAGGCGTTGTTTTGCCTAAAGAAGTGTCCCCCTCACAGTCCAGCTCCCAGACAGACTGGGCGGCAGGGTCACCTTCTAGGGACGCCTGAGCCTGAGAGATCCGGCACATGAGGTTCAGAGGGCCCTCCTCCCCCTCCTCCTTGTCCCCCTCTCTGTGGCCGGGGGTCCCCTCGTCGGGGACCACGTGGCTGTAGGCGGCAGCAGCGACCTCCCCGGAGAAGACGGTGTCCTGGTCGCAGGAGAGGAGCTCATTGCTGCCGGTCACCGTGGCCACCCGGGGGCGCGGGGCGCAGAGGCGGCCGCACCCCAGCAGCTGGGCGAACACCCTGCGGAAGTCCGCGTTGAAGGCGTAGATGATGGGGTTGAGGGCGGAGTTGGCCCAGCCGAACCAGACGAAGATGTCGAAGGTGGTGTCGCTGACGCAGGGGAAGCCTGAGCCTGTGCCATCGGGGCGGCGGCTGCAGAAGGGCGCCATGCAGTTGAGCAGGAAGAAGGGTAGCCAGCAGCACACGAACACCCCCATGATCACCGACAGCGTCTTCAGCACCTTGGTCTCCTTCTGGATGGACGCCCGCAGGCCGGGCACGGGCGCCCCGTCCGCCGCGCCCCCGCCCCGCTGCGCGCGCTGCCCCGCCCGCTCCAGGCAGGCGATCCGGCGGATCTGCGCGTGCGCGATGCGGTAGATGCGCACGTAGGTCACGACCATGATGGCCACGGGGATGTAGAAGCTGATGAGCGAGGAGGCGATGGCGTACGTGCGGTTCAGGCTGGAGTCACAGTTCTCCTCCCGCGCCTCCGGGTCCCCCGTGTCCCCCCAGGACGTCCCGTTGGCTGGGTCTGGGGCGCCCCGCGAGCCCGCCTGGTCCCGGTGCCAGTGCAGCTGGACCGGGATGAAGGAGATGAGGACGGACAGGGTCCAGGCCAGGCCCACCATGACCAGGGCCACGCGCCGCGTCATCCTGCGCTGGTAGCGGAAGGGGCTGGCGATGGCCCAGTAGCGGTCCATGCTGATGACGCACAGGTTGAGGATGGAGGCGGTGGAGCACATGATGTCGAAGGCCACCCACACGTCGCAGAAGGCCCCGAAGGGCCAGCGGCCGGCCACCTCGGCCACGGCCTTCCAGGGCATCACCAGCAGGGCCACGAGCAGGTCGGACACGGCCAGGGACACGATGAACACGTGGGTCATCCTGGCGCGCAGGTGGCGGCTGCGCACGACGGCAGCGCACACCAGCGCGTTGCCCAGCAGCGTCCACACGACGAGCAGCGTCAGGAGGCCGGCGGTGAGCACCTGCGCGGGCCCCGGCGCCGCCGCCCCCTCCGCGCCGTCCAGGGCGCCCCCCGGAGCCGGCGGCTGCGGCCCGGATGGCAATGGCGCGGGGAGCTCCGTGCCAGGGCGCCCCCGCGGCAGCATGTCGCACTCGGCCTCCTCCTCCTCCTGGGCGGCGGCGGCAGGGGCGGGCTGCGTGTGCTCCAAACGTCGGCCCTGTGCCCCCCGGGCGGCCCCATCGGGCCCCCAGGCCGGGGGAGCGCGAGGGAACCCGGGGCCGAGGACCCCAGAGCCCCCGGGGGCGCTCACCGTGCGCTGCGCTGGGGCCCGGGGCGCAGGGGGCGCTGCTCCCCTCGGGCGCCTCCGGGCGGCGGGCCGCGGTGCGCCCCTTCGGAGCCGGGGCCGGGCGCCGGGAGCGGGGACAGGAAGTAGCCGGGCCCGCGGGGCTGTTCCTGGGAGCGCGGAGCGGCGTCTGGTTCGGAGCCGGGGACGCACCTCGGAGCTGGTCACCGCCGAGGGGGCGGGGGCGGGGGCGGCCGGCTGGAGGCCAGCGTGGCGGTGGCGGCGCCGGGGGGTCCCCGCGGCTCCCGGGCTCCGGGGCCCTGGCTCCCGGCCCCGCGCCGCCTCTGCGTCTTCTTCGCTCTGGGCGCGCGCGCCCCACGGGTTCCCGAGTTCCGGGGCGCCCTCTCCTGCTCACCTGCTCCTCGGCCGGTGCCCAGGCAGGATCCCCCTGCGCCCTGCCTGGCGGAGCCTGGGGACGAACCCGCAGAACCCGCAGGTGCCAGCGTCACCCCAGCGCCGGAGGCCCGCGGCGCGCCGGGCAGAACGCGCCCGGAGAAGACAAACAGGCGCCCGGCCCAGCCCCGCGGCCCGCGCTGGCCATGGCCGTGTTCAATAAACAGGAAGGTGGGGTAGGGGAAGGAGGGGGCGGGGAGGGAGGTGGGAGAAGGGGGGAGCACTGGGCTGCAGGCCTGGAGAGAGCGCTTGTGGGGTACAGGGGGGCGGGCGACTCTGGGTGTCTCCCAGACCTGAGTCCCAATTCGGACTGGATTCGAAGCTGTGTGACCTTGAGCGTGAACCTTGACCTCCCTGGGCCTCGGTTCCTCATCCTCACAATGGGGCAGTGATTCTCACGCCCGCGGGCGCTGGAAGAGCCCCTGAAACCGGCCACGAAGGCCCACCCGCTCCTTTCCCCTGGGCCCCGGGGCAGGAGGCTGTCTCCTGGGAACGCCTCCCCCCCTCTGCCCCTGCACACACACTCCTTCTGAGATTGGGGGTTCGCCTGGCCTTGAGAGAGTCCTCTTCCCTACCAGCACTCCCAATTCTAGAGCCTCTGCGCTTGGGGGATAGCTGCTGGGAACCCGGAGACAAGGAGAGGAAGGGGCCCAGCTGGGAAGGGGTACTGGGGGGCGGGGGGGAGGGGGCTCCCCTCTGCCACAGGCTTCCTCCTTATTTGCCCTGAGAGGAATGGATTAATAGCACCTCGGTGCTTCACAGTAGGGGAAACTGAGGCCTCACTGGGTGGCCCAGGGCTAAAATTAAGGGGAGAAAAGAGAGAGAGAGAAAGAAAGAAAGAAAAAGGTGGAGAAAGGCTGGCAGGGAGAGCCCTGTTCCAGGATCTCACCACGCCTCCGTGGACAAGTTCTGCTTGCGACCCGCCCATCTCTGCCCCGTGCGGCTCAGGGAAGGCAGCTGGAGAGAAATGAATGGGGCTTCGTCCCCACTGAGACCCGCTGTGAGGTCCAGAAACAGGGGCTGGATTCTCCCCCTCCACTCAGAACCGCCTGCCGCTTCCCCTGGAGCCACACCTCAGGGCCCCAGTTCTCAGACTGAGCCGGCTTAGCCCTTTCCCCTCCTCCTTCCCCCCCGCCCCCCCCTCGCTCTCCGCTGTGAGGGATGGCAAGACCATCTGTCCAGATGCCTACGCCTAGAACTGCAGGCACACTCACCACCTGTCTCCCCATCTCCAAGGCGCTGGACCACTCCTCTCCGTCCCTGTCCAGGACTGTGTCCTCCCCGCCCTGTTTTATGGGGACACTCTCCTGGGTTCGGGCACTCTGGGTCCTGCTGTGAGCCTCTGTCCACCCTCTGCTCAACGGCAGGCAGAGCGATCCTTGTCAAATGTAACTGCGAGCGTGTCACCCCCCGATGGACAGCCCTGAGAGCTCCCTGGGACCCTGATCCTTAGACAGTCAGGGGAGAACTTTTATTCTCTTCATCACCTTGCCCTTGCTCGGTGCTCCTGCTTCTCCTCTTGTTGTTCCTCCCCATCCATAGGCAGCCGTGATTCAAGCCACTGTCCTACACACGTGCACGCGTGCACGCCATCTTCCTAATGGGTCACATGGTCACCCTCACTCCGGGCGCCCCCCCCCCCCTCCTGTCCTGGAGAACGCCAACTTGGGAGGTCAGAAGCTTGGGTTTTGGAGACGGGGTTTGAATGTCAGTTTCTTTATTTTTTTTTTTTATAAATAGATTTTATTTATTTATTTTTAAATATATTTAATTGATTTTTTACAGAAAGGAAAGGAGAGGGGTAGAGAGCTAGAAACACTGATGAGAGAGAAACATCGACCAGCTGCCTCCTGCACACCCCCCCACTGGGGATATGCCTGCAACCAAGGTACATGCCCCAAGGTACATGCCTGGCTCCCCGCACAAGTGTGCTAAGAGGAATCGAACCTGGGACCCTTCAGTCTGCAGGCAGACGCTCTATCCACTGAGCCAAACCGGTTTCGGCTGAATGTCAGTTTCTTATTCTTTTATTCAGCAAATATTTATTGAGCACCTGTTACGTCCCAAATGCTGTTTTATCCGCCAGGAATGCAAGAGTGTATAAAATATATATGTAAGCATTCCGGGGTAAGGACAGTCCATACAGAGAGAACAGCATGTGCAAAGGCTCAGAGGCACGGCGCTCCATGGGGGAAGGGTAGGTCTTCAGAACTCTAAGACTTTTCTCTCCGTGGACAAGACCCTATGCGCTCAGAGTAACAGTATGCATCCAGGCCGCTGCCTCACGCATCTGTCCCCCATTCCTGGGACGGCTCCAGAGCAGCATGCTGGGGGCAGCGACGGTTCAGTGGAGGCCTTGGCCGCCCTTGCTCACCAGGCCCTTTTCCACGGTTTTCGGAAGAGTGGGGCAGAGTCAATAGCTACAACCCAACGAGTGTCTTCAGTCAACCTCAGAAGCCAGCCTCGTGGGCAAGGACTCTCCCCAACGAGACGCTAACAAACTCCTTATCTCTCACCTGGTCCCTGCTACGCTAACAAACTCCTTATCTCTCACCTGGTCCCTGCTGGGCCCTGTCTTCCGAGGACACAGCCAGGAGGCGATCCCCTAGCATGCCTGGCTAGCCACACAAGTGTGCTAAGAGGATTTTCTAAGAATGCTTTAGCCCCCGGGGTTTTCCTAATCCGGTGGGCAAATATTCTGCTGTATCAACTCACTGATCCTCCTTTCCCCGAAGGCGTATTCCAAATGGGATTTGTCTCCCTGAGACCAATGGCCGAATCTCGGAATCCGTAGGACCGCAGCCAGGGTTTGCGGTGGCTGCTGCCGCGGCTGCTATCAAAAAGCCACGTGTTTTATACCCAGACTGGCCTGGATCCTTGACAACGGGTCACCCCTGAACTCCCCCGGCGCCAGCCCTGCTGATGTGCTCAGCCTGGCTCGGCGGGGCCCAGGCAGAAGGAGAGAGATGGCCTGTCACCTGCATCCACCCTGCAGCCAGAAAAGCCACCTCGCTTATGGATGGTGACCCAAGGCCTCAGCAAACCCCAAGGTCAGTACCCGGGACCCTGCCTTCCACAGCTCAGAGGCACGGGGAGCCGAGAACAGCCGTGTCAGGCAGGCGGAAACAGTTATGCCAGAAGGAAGCGCAGGCATGCAGATAAGGAAGGGAGGTGGGCTTGCAAGTCAGACAGTCCTGGTTCATATCCCCCCTCTCTGGCTTACTAGCTCTGGGACCTGGAGCCAGTTACTTAACCTCTCTGAGCCTGAGTTTCCTCATCTTTAAAACGGTAACATTAGCCCTAGCTCGTTTGGCTCAGTGGATAGAGCATCGGCCTGCAGACTAAAAGTTCGATCCCAGTTAAGGTCACATGCCTGGTTTGTGAACTTGATCCCCAGTGGGGGGGACGTGCAAGAGGCTGCTGATCAATGATTATCATCATTGATGTTTCTATCTCTCACTCTCCCTTCCTCTCTGAAATCAATAAAAACTATATTTAAAAAAAAATAATAATCTACACTAATAAAAGAGAAATATGCCAATTGATCATCACTTTAAAATGCCCACCAGCCAATCAGGAATGAGTATGCAAATTAACCTCATCACCTCCGTGGAGACTGACAGCCGGGAGGAGGCAGCTTCCAGCCCGGCCTGCTTGGCCATCAGCACAGCGACCTGGGAGCAGGCAAGCATGGCCGCCAGCAGCACCCAGCACAGCCTCAGCAACCTGGAAGCAGTGAAGTCAGCCTACAGGCAGCACCCAGCATGGCCTGCTTGGCCATTGCTGCAGTGACAAGTGCTGCCCTCAGGAGTCCCAGATTGGAGAGGGTGCAGGCTGGGCTGAGGGACACCCGCTCCCCCCAGTGCATGAAATTCATGCACTGGGCCTCTAGTATTGTAATAACTCTGTATGGTGCCAGGTGGGTACCTGAAATATAGGGAGGATCACTTTGCAAATTATGTAATAGTCTACCACTAGGTGGTACACCTGAAACTAATATAAAACAATACTGAATATCAACTGTAATTTAAAATGAAAAAAATTTTAATGCTAACATCAATATTTACTGTGTAGGGCTATTATGAATAAATGACATGCTGTACTTAGGAAATGGTAAGTTGGTATTAGTCAGGTTTTGTTATAATGGTGCATAACAAACAACCCCCCACACACACACAATTTAGTGGCTTAAAACAGCAAACACTTCTTTCTCACTATTGGTCTGTGGTCGGCTGGGAAGGTTATTCACTCTTCTATAAGTTTGAAATTATCTCAGAATAAAAGAAATCTTAAATGAATATATTGATTAGAAATGCCTTCAGCTGTGAGTGTCAGAAAAACCTCATGGCTCGTGGCTTATACAATAAAGACGTTGAATTCTCTAATGTAACAGGAAGTTAAGAGGAAACAGGCAAGGGCTGGTGCAAAAACTCAGCGATGTAACTGAGGATCCAGATTCTTTTCATTTTTTTCCCTCTTTTCACCCAAATCTCTCCTTTATCCACATTGTGGCTTTGTGACCCTGGGAGCCTCGTGGTCGCCGGGTGGCTGTTCCAGCTTCAGGCTCCACGATCAAATCCAAACTCCGGGAGCAAAATGCAGGGAAGCCACATCAGAGCGACTTCTCTTTATGTGTCTCTTGCCGGTCACCATGGAGAAAATCTTAGACGGACCTCATGTCCCATCGGCCAGAACTGAATCACGTGGCCGCCCCTGGCCACAAGGTAGATGGTGCACTGTTCCAAGTACAAGGCAAGGAGCCCTGAAAGCCCAGGCTTAGTTTAAACAAGCTATGACCCACCACCTAAGACGGGGCGCTTTGGTTTCCAACCAAAATCAGGGTTTTCTAATCAAGCAAAGGAATCACTGCCGGGAAGGCAATGGACAGTGTGTGCCCTCCAGAGGCTTTGGAGCGAGCATGTTACACTCGTTGGCCTCGGGCCCCGTCCATCGGGTCCCCTTAGCCTTGGGGGGTGACATGCTTGCTTTGGGGGAGCGTGTGCTTCTTCCCTTTGAAGGACAGGAGCAGAGCCCGCCAGCCTCCATGGAGGTGGCCCCACTCCTGGTTGGCGGAGCAAGCAGAGGGGAGCGCATTGTAGCTCAGGGTTCTGCTGAAATCTTTTTTTTTTTTTTTAATCTATATTCTTATTGATTTTCAGAGAGGGAGAGAGAAGGAGAGAGAGAGAAACATCCCCGATGAGAGAGAGTCGTTGATCGGCTGTTTCCTGCATGCCTCCTCCTGAGGACCTGTGCGCTGACCCCTGACCTCCTAGTTCATAGGTCGGAGCTCAACCACTGAGCCACACCCCCTGGCTCTGCTGAGCTCTTTCTTGCCAGCCAGCCTTCCAGCGCCACCTTGTGCCTGACAGGCGAATAGAGGGCGTTCATGGGAAGCTGGCAGAGCCTCTCACAGACTGTTCCAGGAAACTCACCCATCACGGGTGCCCACCGTGTCCCCTGCGCTGCCTCACACCCTGCAACAGCCTGGTTGTGTGAGGGTGGCCACGTGTTCATGTGATGATGTGGTGAGATCCTGGGAGGGAAAGCAGCAAAGTTCCTGCTCGCACAGGCAGGCAGTCCTCTCCAGGAGAGACAAGCACACACAATAAACATCTCGTGTGTAAGGTGCCGCGGTGAAGGGTAACGGGGAGTGTGTGCATGCAGATGGCCAGAGCAGCCCTGGTCGGGTTGGCCCGTGGGTAGAGCACCAGCCTGTGGACCACAGGGTCCCGGGTTCAATCCCTGTCAGGGGCACTTACCTCAGTTGCAGGCTCCTTGGGGCTCATGCAGGAGGCAACCAATGGATGTGTTTCTCTCACATCGATATGTCTGTTTTTCCCTCCCTCTCTCCTCTACTCTCTCTAAAAATCAATGGAAAAATATCCTTGGGTGAGGATTAAAAATATATACACTGAGTGGCCAGATTATTACGATCTCTGAACGCATAATAATCTGGCCACTCAGTGTATATCCAATATAATAAAAGGCTAATGTGCAAATTGTCCCCTTGGCCAGGAGTTCGACCAGCAGGCAGGCCAGCCAACCACCCATGTCCCCTCCCCCTGGCCAGGCTGGCTGGACCCCACCCATGCACGAATTCATGCACTGGGCCTCTATATATTAGCGTGGCAATACACACACACACACACACACACACACACACACACACACACTGAGTGGCCATATTATTTATTATGCAGAGAACATAATAATCTGTCCACTCAGTGCAAATGGCCAGAGCACACCTCACTATGTCGGGACCTCCCACAGGGCCTAAAGAATGAGAAAGAGACTGATCCATTTCAAGGAGCCCGAGAAATACACTCCCGAGAGAGTAGCACATGCCAAGGTCCTGGGGCACAGAAGAGTTTGGGAGAGTCAAGGAAGTGAGGGAGACATATGCGGCTGCAGCGGCACCCCCGGGTGCCTGGGGGAGGGAGGCAGAGGACGGAACTGACAGGAGAAGAGGGAGTATCAGGCCAGCTCGTGAAGATCCCCATAGACCACCGTTAGGAGTTTATCATTTATTTTAAAAGCAACGGGAAGCCATGGGTGGGCTTTTAGCAGGTGACTTGATTTAACTGACATCTTTTGGATAACTAGCATTATCATCATTGTGGTGGTGTTTCATATTAGTGTGGCTACAACACCAGACCAGAATGTCCATCCCTTCTTGCCAGAAGCCAGTCCCAGCACGTCAGCAGGGTTGAATCATCTGGAAATGGCTGAGGGCATTTCCCCAAACCTGAAAAGGATGCATAAATTGATGGCTGCCAGACAGCAAAGGATATCTTAAGCTACATGTTATTGTCTCCTACTGGCCAAACACCTGAACAGCCTTAGGCAATTCACCGATCTGACAATGGATTCTGTGTACCAATCCCTGGCCTTTGAAGTATATATCTATTATACCTTGCCTTAGGACAAATTGTGTTAACAGAAAGCAAGAGGTCCTGAGACAAGAGAGCATTTAGATCCTTTAGCTAAGTCTTCTCTGGCTCCCCAAAATGCCTTCCAAAATTATGTTTTGTCTCTGGACTCTTATTTAATTTACACACAGTGCTTCTCCAGATTCCTGGACCCTTCTAGATGCTGGATCAAGAACCCCGCCACTTTGGAGCGTTAAAACACTGCACTCACCACTCACCCTCCTGATGCTCCCCTCGGGGCTGCTCTCAGGGAGAGCAAAGGTCACGATCACTCCCATCAGATCCAGGAAAGTACCATGCTTGCCACCCTCAGTCTGGGGACTTTCCTCACCCAAGGGCATCCTCCACCCACTATCCTCCTCCAACAGCCAGTGTTTCTGCCCAGGCTGTGGAAGAGCATGACCAGCAGGTCAAATTATTTTTAGAAAGGCAAGTTACATGCAAATTTAATAAATATAAAAACAATCTGTGTGTGTGTATGTGCACTAATAGTTAACTAGGTGCTCAAGATTAACAGCAATTACCTCTATATCACAATTTACCTCTTTTAAAAAAAAAGTTTTATTGATTTTAGAGAGGATGGGAGAGGGAGAGAGAGAGAGAGAGAGAGAGAGAGAGAGAGAGAGAGAGAGAGAGAGAGAGAGAACTATCAATGATGAGAAAGAATCATTGATCGGCTGCCTCCTGCATGCCCCCTACTGGGGATCAAGCTCACAGCCCTGGCATGTACCCTGACTGGGAACCAAACCATGACCACCTGGTTCATAGGTTGATGCTCAACCACTGAGCCACGTAGGCAGGGCTATATCACAGTCTCTCAATCTCAGCACTATTAACATTTGGGGCCAGATAACTCTGTGGTGGGGGCCCATCTGTGAATTGCAGAACTTCAGCAACACTCCAGCCCTCTACCCACTAGATGCCAGAGACACCCCCTAATGGTAGCCATGGAAACATCTGCAAACATCGCTGCAGGTCCCTAGGGAACAGGTTGTGGCAGCTGGAGAACCACCGCCCTCGGTGATGTTTCCCTTTGTTTGTAGCGTATCTGCCCGTTTTTAGTTGTGTGTGTTTTCATAAAATAAACATAAGGTACTTTAATCATGTAAAAACAAATCAGTGTTTCTTGATGTCCCATTGCCTGTGCTGTCAAAAAACAACAACAATCAGATGAAAAGATATTCGTATTTATAACAAGTAAACTAACTTTATTATGATTTTAAGATGAGTATTAAAAAAAAAAAAAACATACAAAGGCCTCCTAATCATCCGTATTCCTCACGAGGCTTTCCGATAGCTGCAGCCTTTAGCCAAGGCAGTCTGAGCGTAAGTACACACCTTCACGGAGAATTCTAAATGTACATAAGGCTTTACACATATGGTTAGTCACCACAGAGTCGCTCATAAGAGCAAAAAGTTATAGACACTAAAACCACCCCAAGGAAACCAAGCCAGTCATGGCACATCCCCTGGGCAGACTGGAACACAGCACTCACATGACACTTACAGGGCGTGGGTAGCAACGGAGGGAGGTCTATGGCAGAAATGCGCACAAAATGGTCACTGTCACGGCACTGTCACGTCGTCACGGGCGAGTGCGACAGCGGCGGTGATGACAAGCACCGCAGCATCCACAGCTAAAAGGCGCACACCAGGATGGCAGAGCGGCTGTCTGCTTACCAGCGGCATTCTGGGGGGTTCTTGTCTCCCTGGTCTCCGGGACCGTCCGAACATTCTTACCATGAGACAGAACACAGTAAAGTCCGCATTTTTAAAAATCTTCAAAATGATCACAAACGAAAAAGGCTCAGGTAAGAAATGTGTCTTTAGATGGATCAACGCACAAATTTCCATCCAAACCATAGAAATAACTTTGTTTAAAAAATTAAGCACAGGCGGACAGTACAATACAGACTAAATGTGAGCTCCGTCTATGGGGTGACTCGCCGATGCAGACGGTAGTGAGAGGCTAAACGCAGTCACACGATGAATTGCAAACACGAGATGGTTTTTATGAAAAACAAACGGGATAAACAGTTTTCCAACCGAGGATCCCATTCTTCAAAAACAGAGGCCCCGTTTGGAAGGAGATAAAATGGGCTTTGACTAGAATGCACGAACAGGGACAGGTTTCAGCTGCCTCATCGATTCTGGCCTCACTTGTTGACATTCTCCCGGGAAGATGCGCCGTCTGGCCCACGGGGCACAACCCGGGCGGACAAAAGACAGCCTGGCATCTGTGAGGCGATGTTTGCCCAGCCTGGCCGCCCAGGTGGCTGGGGAGTGCCCTTGTTGGCGCACCCCACGCGACCTTTCATGTGCACGCACACTAGATCTTACAATAGACCTCGAAGAGGGAGGCAGCTGCGTGCATCCGGTAGAAAATGGAGAAGGGCATGGCCAGGTTGACCACGATGATCCAGGGCTCGAAGCCAAAAACGATTTCCTCTAGGCCGTTGTCATACTCGGGCCGGCAGCCGAAGGCGGGAGGGATCCATAGCTGCAAGAGAAGGGAGTCTGTCCTGGCTGCTGCCGCCAAGGAGACCCCCAGCCAATCCCCAGGGCTGTGCGGTCCCCAATGTGCCTTCCTTTCCCGAGTCTTCAGGGCTTGCCTCCTGCCTCTCTCTCTATCAGGGACCACCTGGCTTCCCTCTGCTACATCCTACCTTCCTCTAAGCCCTGAGACACCACCTCTCCCAAGAAGCCCTCCTGGATGGAACCAGCCTGGGCAGGAACTCCCTCTGTGCTTCCTGCACCCCCGGGTTTACCTACAGCTGAGATGGCCTGTGGGCCACACCCACCTGCAGGTACCCACATCTGTGCTTGGAGCTCTCTGCCACACGGTCTGGGCTGTGAGTTCTGTAGTGTCCTCGCTGGCCTGTCCTTGGCTTAGAGAGCAGCCTAGTCCTTGCCCGCATTCCCCTGGTCGGGGGTGGTGGTGGGGGGTGGTGGTGGAGAACACCTGCTTTGGAGCCGGACCTGAGTTCATGCTACTTCTGCTACTTCAAGCCTCAGTTTCCTTATCTGGAAAATGGGAACACTAACACCTGTCTCAGCTCCGATGGGAATACAGTGGCAACTAATTTGCAAAACCTATTATCTCTGTTGCCCGTGGAACTTACACACTGGCCCCCTCCTCAGAGTCCCTGTCCCTGTTCCTCCACCTCCCTTAAATGCCAGGCTGCGGTCCGCTGCTCCCTCTGAGCTCTTCCTCCCTCTGCACACCGCTCCCTCTGAGCTCCCCCTCCCTCTGCACACCGCTCCCTCTGAGCTCTCCCTCCCTCTGCACACCGCTCCCTCTGAGCTCTCCCTCCCTCTGCACACCGCTCCCTCTGAGCTCTCCCTCCCTCTGCACACCGCTCCCTCTGAGCTCTCCCTCCCTCTGCACACCGCTCCCTCTGAGCTCTCCCTCCCTCTGCACACTGCTCCCTCTGAGCTCTCCCTCCCTCTGCACACCGCTCCCTCTGAGCTCTCCCTCCCTCTGCACACCGCTCTCTCTGCAGCTCCCCCTCCCACGCGGTGCGGGCAGCCTCTCCGACGACCCTCAGGACCCCCCTCATGGAGCCCTGCCCCCTCGTGTCCTGCTGAACCTAGGAACTCGCTTCCGACAAACAGAATAGGACAAAGTGAGGGGGTGTCCCTGCTGGGATTAGGTTGCAGAGACCCTGCGACCCACCTCCCTCATCCCCTCTCACAAGAGAGGAAGCGGCTGCCACGTGGTGAGCTGCCCACGGAGAGGCCACGTGGCCGGGACCGGCGGGAGGTGCATCCTGCCCGCAGCCACACGGGTGGGCTGGAAGCCGGCCCCCTTCCACCCCACAGTCAGCCTAGAAATGACTGCAGCCCGGCCGGCAGCTGGCCTGCCCCTGTGAGGGGCCCCGAGCAGAGGTGCCCAGCCAGGCTTGGATTCCTGACCCAGAGACACCCTGGAAACTAACGTGGGTGCGTTTACGTTGCCGAGTGTGGGAGCCGTTTCGCACCCAGCAGTGGGGTCTAGAGAAGCCGGGTTGCAGGGCCACGGGGAGGGGAGGGGGGAGGGAAGCAGATTACCGAGATGTTGCAGAGGAACAGGAAGGCTGCGATGTTCCTCAGGAGGCTCCTCTGGGGGCGGCCCTGCACGAGGCGGGAGGCCCGGGCCCCTGCCCAGCTCGGCTGCGCGTCCCCTGGGCCGCTGACTTCCCTCAGGCACAGACTTCCGATGGCTGCAGGTGGCCTCTGACTGCCCAGGTCCCGGGCCACGGCATTGCTCTTGAGGCGGGAAGGAGCCAGGGGTGCGTGGCCACCATTGCAGACCACGGCCACCCGCAGGGCCCCGGCGTCCTCGCGGGGCGGGCCGGGCGCCCGGTGCGCGGCCTCGATGATGAACAGGTTCTGGACGTACTTCTCGGCGATGACCAGGACGGAGTAGGGCAGGTTGTACCAGGTGTAGGCGGGCCGGGCCTCGGCGCAGAGGATGGCCAGGAGCGAGCCCCAGGACAGGAGCCAGGAGCCCGAGGCCGTGCCCACCAGGAGGTCGGCGTCCAGCTTGCGGGCCGGGTTCCTGGACTCGTCGGGCGACGGCCCGTCCAGCCGGTAGAGCCGGAGGCCGGCCAGCCCCGCGGCCCCCATGAGCGCCAGCAGGGCGCTGGCGTACAGGTAGAAGAGGATGAGCGCGGACTCGCTCTTGGTCTTGGAGCGGCCGATGCGGACCAGGTACACGGCCACCACCCCGATGGTGGCCGCCAGCACCGCCAGGCCCAGGCCCGAGCCCGCCGCCACCCCCCGGAACCGGAAGCGCATCTTGCGGTGCTGCGGGCCGTCCATGCTGCGCCCGATGTTCTTCCACAGCACGTAGAGCATGGTGGACGCCAGGATCTGGTACTCGATGTTGAAAGGGTAGAGGTAATAGGTGCCGTGGGAGATGGCGGCACAGAGGGCCGGTGGGGAGCAGTTGCAGGGCGGCGTGTGGTCATCCAGCTCTGGGGAGAGAGGGGTCCGGGGCGTGGACAAGCCGAAGGCAGTGTTGCTGCCGGCATGCCCGCGTGAGTTTCCCCGGGGAATTAATGATAGATATTCCCTTCCTCCAACGGATGGACAGACGTAAAACTCCACCTGCAGCCGGACATAACTGAGCACTGAACCACCCATCAGCACCTGCCAAACACCCTAAGCCCCGACTCCTAAGTCCCTAGGTCCCTCATCATAGGTCTTACATGAAGCCACCAATCAGCGTGTGCCGAGTGCCCTAAGCCCCGTCCCCCCTCTTTCGTCCCCTTAAAAAGTGCTTGTACCTGGGCCCTTGTTCCCTTCCGCTCTCTCGCTCTCTCTGGAAGCAGCTGGCAGTGGTACTCTTCTCTCCAATAAAGCCTGTGTCCTGGCATCCCGGTCTCCGGCCCCCTCTCTGTTTCATCTTTTAATTAAAAACTTGATGTCACGGCTCATTATCACCTTTCAGGTCCTGGCTAAAGTGACCACCAGGAACACCCCCAAAGGAGAATTAACAACATGAATCACATTTTATCCACCCCTTGGAATATCATATCATCAATTAGAAATGTAGAAATTTACTTAGCAACACACACAGCTGTGTGCAAGATAGCGTTGGACCAAAAAACATTTTTCCGCCTGGCAGGAGTGGCTCGGTGGTTGAGTGTCAACCTATGAACCAGGAGGTCACAGTTCGATACCCAGTCAGGGCACGTGCCCAGGTTGTGGGGCTCAACCCCCAGTGTGGGACGTGCAGGAGGCAGCCGATCTACCCTGAGTGGCCAGATAGTGATCTCTGAATGCATATGATCTGCCTACTCAGTGTATATCCCATATAATAAAAGGCTAATATGGCCGAGACCAGTTTGGCTCAATGGATAGAGCGTTGGCTTGGGGATTGAAGGGTCCCGGGTTCGATTCCGGTCAAGGGCATGTATCTTGGTTGTGGGCATATCCCCAGTGGGGGGTGTGCAAGAGGCAGCTGATTGATGACTCTTTCTCATCGATGTTTCTAACTCTCTGTCTCTCTCCCTTCCTCTCTATACAAAATCAATAAATATATTTAAAATTAAAAGGCTAATATGCAAATTGTCCCCTCAACCAGGAGTTCAACCAGCAGGCAGGCCAGCCAACTGCCCATGTCCTCTCCCCCTGGCCAGGCTGGCCGGACCCTACCCAGGCACAAATTCATATGCTGAGCCTCTAATACACACACACACACACACACACACACACACACACACACACAGTGAGTGACCAGATTATTATGTGTTCAGAGATCATAATAATCTGGCCACTGAGTGTATATTCTCTCTCATCATTGATGTTTCTATCTCTCTCTCTCCCTCCCTTCCTCTCTCTGAAATCAATAAAAACATATTTTAAAACAGAAATTCAATTTTTTTTTAAAGCAGTTTGTCAAAGCCTCCAGAGCTTGACTCTGCTTTTGTAAATCACAGATCTGTAGATGACAGAGAGAGAGATCGGGAAAGACATAAACGAAAACGCCAGCAATGGTCACACTGGGAGGAAAATGGCCACTGGGTTTTCTTTCCTGTTTTCCAGCAAAGGAAACGTAGGGTCGCCCCTTTCCCAGCCTCACGGAGACACAACCAGCTCTCAGCACTGCGAGGCTGTGGTGCAGAGCCAATGATTTTCTTCTCGATGTCGCTTCTCCAGGCTTCCTAAACTCTCAGCGTGAATGTGATCGCATGTGTGACTTAAACATTATTATTAAAAAGTAACTTCAGGAGGGGAAGGCCCATCTCCTCAGCAGATATTTTCCTCTTGAGGCCATCCGATGCTGCCAGGTGGGGCCTAAGACAGCGCCTCCATGTAGAGGGCCACCTGAGAAGGCACATGGATGTCCTTTAAACTGTCAGCTGAGCCCGAGGGCTGAGGGTGTATTCACTTTCTTTTTTTTTCCTTTTTTTTTTTTTTTAAAATATATTTTATTGATTTTTCACAGAGAGGAAGAGAGAGGGATAGAGAGTTAGAAACATCGATGAGAGAAAGTCATCCACCAGCCGCCTCTTGCACACCCCCTACCGGGGATGTGCCCGCAACCAAGGTATTATACATGCCCTTGACCGGCATCGAACCGGGGACCTTTCAGTCCGCAAGCTGATGCTCTATCCACTGAGCCAAACCGGTGCAGGCTGTATTCACTTTCTGACTTACCTTTGTCAGCAGGGGCGGGTCTAGATATGTAAATCCAGTAATGCCAGGGCCTAGTTAAGAATGCAAATAAGCTCCTTTGACCCTATAAATAAACCTGTGTGGCTTAGGGGGGTTGCCTTGCTGCCTCTTCATCAGAGAAGATGGCGCACACCTAGCGCCCGGCTTGATGAATCTATTTCTGCCTCTATGTCTCTTTCTTTCTCTAATTTATTAATCCCCAGCTCCTCCACTCAGGAGCCTGTTGTTTTCCGTGATGGACATGGAAAACAGAGAAACAGCCCCCCGCACCTCCAGCCCCAGCGGCAGGAAGGCAAGTCCCATCACCTTCTGGAAGGCACTGACCCTGTCACAAAGACACGCTCGGTAGCCAGGAGGGCACCTGCTGGGGGTAAGAGATGAAACATACCACGAAAGCTAACATTGATGGGAACAAGACCCAAATCCGGTCCCCAGCCCACCGGCCCTTCCCCTACCCCACGTTCCTCTCAGCCCCAGGGGCCCAGGCCCAAAGCTAAAGTTCATGGGAAGAACACAGACAGGTAATTAGTGCTGAACGCTCTCCCACAGGAGCGAGAAGGAGCGAGGAGGACCGACATGACAAGCAACGTGGACCTCGACGCAAACTTCAAATTAACTAAACCCAATGAGCCCAAACCTGCCATTAGCCGGCCCTGGGTCTTCAAAAGCTATACTTTCTGCAGAAAGAACAAAAGGCTTGTCAGGGCTTAATTACACACAGGCAGACACGGCCGCCCATCTCCCATGGTCGTGCACAAAGCCGTGCGTTTCCATGCCAACCGGGGCCATGCAGAGGGGGACCAGATGACCCCCCTGCGGTCTGACAAGCCCTGAGTCACGGAGGAACCCTCTCATTATACTCAGCGCCCCCACTCAGGGGCCGGCAGGCAGACTTGAGGGGCGGGGGTGGGGGCTGTCTGCGGGCCTTGGGACGTGCTGGTGTCTGCAGGCCTCCTGGGCACGGCCACGCACGCACTCACCGATGGTGATGTTGCCGAAGCCCAGGGTGATGAGCCGCTCCTTGTGCTCGTTCAGCTGGTGCTTCGACTCATTCAGGACGCTGTTGGCCCACAGGAGCAGGTTGGTAAACACCGAATGGATCACCCCGAACCTGCAAAACACACGGCCTTTGCATACACACGTGTGTGCACACACAGGTACACGCACACACGCGGGCCTCCTTCTGAGCCATGACCCTGGTTTCATCTGGCAGCTTGGTCCCTGGAGGACGGGGGGGGGGGGGGGGGGGGTCCTCTGACTAGCTGGGAGGAGCAGTTCCACAAGAACTACCCAAACCACCGCCTCGGCATTCTGCCTCAACCTTGAACCTGCCAGTCCTCAACTCACTGTCTCTGGGGCAAAAAGAAACTGGGTGTTGGCATCAGGGACGTAGGGACAAGAGTTTGTTGGAAGCAGGCTATGAACCCTACGATGCCGCAGGCCCTTTCTCCTAGAGGGAAAGAGGAGAGAGCAACGAGGGGACGATGGCAGGGCTGCAGCAGATGTCAGGAGAGTGGGGAACGCCACTACTGTTGGTTGGCCAACCCAACCATCATCGTCTGCCCCCTCTGCCTCACCACCTACCCCTGACCACACTGAGCCAAGCCCGGGACTTGCTGTCTGCCTTCCTTGCAGCTAGACACAGCCATGGTGGCCATGGGCTGTGAGTTACTGAAAGGGTTTGTTTTTTTAATGAGTAAGATAAGCATAAGAAAGGCAGGCTTACTGTCATTCTTCCCTTTCTTCCCAGCCTTGAACATGAAGGCTGGAGTGTTGGAAGCCATATTGTGACCATGAAGCAACCAGCACGGGATGAAACCCTAACCCACTGAGGATGGCAGAGCGGAAACATTAAAAAGCCTGTTTTGGCCAGGACTGGTTTGGCTCAGTGGATAGAGCCTGCAGACTGAAGGGTCCCAGGTTCGATTCCAGTCAAGGGCATATATCTGGGTTGTAGGCACATCCCCAGTAGGGAGTGTGCAGGAGGCAGCTGATCAATGTTTCTCTCACATCGATGTTTCTAACTCTCTATCCCTCTCCCTTCCTCTTTATAAAAAATCAATACAATATATTAAAAAAAAAAAAAAAAAAAAAAAAAAGCCTGTTCTGGCCTGGCCCGCGTGTCTCAGTGGTTGAGCATCAGCCTATGAACCAGGTGGTCATGGTTCTATTCCTGGCCATGGCACATCCCAGGTTACAGGGTTGATCCCAAGTAGGGGGCATACAGAAGGCAGCTGATCAATGATTCTCTCTCCTCATTGATGTTTCTCTCTCTCCCTCTCTCTTCCTCTCTGAAATCAATAAAAAATTTTTGAAAAGAGACTGTGAGGACATTGGTGAGTTCTGATGTCTCCAACAGGTTCAGAAACGAGGTCACAAACAGAGGAAGGAGTGACATCGGGGTGTGAGGATTCAGTAAGCAGCAGGGCTGCTATAGTCAAACCCCAGAGACCTGCCCTGGCCGCTATGCCATGTGACCTCCTAAGAAGGAAGAAAAGGGGGTGGATGCTGGCTTCGGGGGGACAGGGGAGAGATGTGCAGGGGCTATGGTTCTAACGGAGTCACTGCCTATTTCAAAACCTCCAGCGTCTCCCCTGCCTGCAGGTTTGTGACGGAGTCACAGTGGTAGCTGCCAGGGCAGGCAGCAAGCGGGCCTGGCATGTAGCAGGCGTAGCTGGTGATTGGGGAGGAGGGGTGCGTCTTCCTTGAAACTGGCATGTGCAGATGGCTCCTCCTTGGAGAGCAGAGGCCCACAGGACGTTTGCCCCTGCCTGTCCCACCAAGAACAGCGTGCCGTGATCAGTCTGCAGGATAGCCGACCAAGTGGGTCCTCAATCCTGGCCTTGACTCTCCTCTAAGCTCTAACCCCAACTGACCCCCCTGGAGCTCCCTCGAGTGATGCGGGCAAATCCTGGCTTCCTTTGGCAGCTGTGTGATGTGCAGGCGCCCCTGGGGAAGGAACCAGCCTCCCAGGGAGTGCCGGCCATGGGACAGAGTGCCATGCACCCTAGGATTGCCAAATCCTCCCATTTTCCTAGGAAAGTCTGAACCTAAATCCTAAAGGGGGTATGTATTATAACTCAGGGACGTTGAACGCTTGCTCCTTCAAGCAAAACAGGGCATGCCCAGCTGCGTGCGTTCCTGGTTCAAACCACTCACTGGCCAGAGACAGAGACTGTATGCAACCTCTCACCAGCGAGGCCGAGCAGGACACGCCTGGCCCTCAGAGTCCCCTCGGAGGAGAGGCCCCGTGGGAAATGCCCGGTACCCAGCCTGGAGCAGCGCTGTCCACACGCAGGCAACGCGTGTGTGATCTTGCATTTTCCAGTACACACATAAACAATAAAAATTAAAATTAAAATTAAAATTAAACAGCCCTAACCAGTGTAGCTCAGTGGATAGAGCGTCGGCGGGTGGACTGTAAGGTCCCAGGTTCGATTCCGGTCAAGGGCATGTACCTTGGTTGCGGGCACATCCCCAGCAGGAGGCAGCTGATCAATGATTCTCTCTCATCGATGTTTCTTACTCTCTATCCCTCGCCCTTCCTCTCTGTAAAAAAGTCAATAAAATATATTTTAAAACATAAATAAAATAAAAAAATAAACAAAATCAGCAAGCCCGGCCGGCCTGGCTCAGTGGTTGAGCATGGATCTATGAACCAGGAGGTCACGGTTCCATTCCTGGTCAGGACACAGGCCCGGGTTGCAGGCTCGATCCCCAGTAGAGGGCGTGCAGGAGGCAGCTGGTCCATGATTCTCATCACTGATGTGTGTGTCGCTCTCCCTGGCCCTGCAGGAAGGGCCTGAAGGTCAGAGGGCCTCCTCCCAGCCAGGAACAAAGGCTCTGCTTGTTGGGGTGGAGGGACGTTGGTCTCAGGTGTGTAATCCAGCAGGAGGGCACTGGCGGGTTCTGCTTGCTCTGAAGGAACCCCTTGTTCAACATGCAAAGCACTGGTCCCGGGTTTACCTTTCCAGGGTTTTGAAAGACTGGATGATGTCCTTGGCATGTCCCCAGAGAAAGTACACCTAGACGGGAACAAACGAGAGAGGCTGCCTCAGTGGGGACCATCGCTACGCCTGCACACTCCAGAGGCTCTAAAACTCAGGGGAGGGGCGTGAATGCTGGGGCAGCCGTGGCCTCCGGGGGCAGAGCCCTTCCTGGTGGGGACCCCCCCGGAGGCGGGATGAGACCCAAGGGGGCCTCCAGGTTTGGGAAGAGAGGGTGGCACGGTAACTGAGGATGTTGCATGAACGCTTGTCCTCACCCCGTTAACCTGCTCCCGCCACCTAGAGAACAGCTCCTGCCCCAGGGTCCAGAGCCAAGGTCAAGTGCTTCCTGTGAGAAGCAGCCTTGATCCGGGCCAGTCATTGCATACGGCCACACGGGCCCCGTTGCGGACACCCGGGACCCAGAGGCAGCCTCGCGAACGGCGGGCATACCTGCACCAGCGTGTGCACCACGTGGGTGATGGGGAACACGCCCTCAGTGGCGGACAAGCAGGCAGAAAACCCGACGAAGTAGCCGATTTTGAGGCATCCGAGGATGACAGTGATGACGGCAAACAAGGTGATGCTGCCTGCAGGGGCGAGGGGCAGGAACACGCAGACAGGGTCACTGTCACTGACAGCACTTCACAGCAGATCACAGCAAACCCTCACGCGTGTGCTCGAATGACCTCCCACAAGGGCGACGAGACCACCCGCTGGAGAAAGGACAGCCATTTCAACGGATGAGGGTGAGGAGGAAGAGACCTTACTTTTCACAGATTGGATCCAAAAATTAACTCGGGGGCAATCTAAGATTTAAACGCAGAACCTAGAGCTGGAAAACTCTGAGAAGAATGCATAGGGGGAAATCTGTACGATGTGGGACTTGGGGACGGTTTATTGACTATCATTCCAAAAGCATAGGCGACAAAAGCAAAAGAGATAAACTGGGCCACATCGAAAGGAAAAGAAAAAGTTTGTACAACAAAGGACACCAGCCCTAGCTGGTCTGGCCCAGTGGATAGAGCGCTGGCCTACAGACTGAAGGGTCCTGGGTTCTAGTCTGGTCAAGAGCACATGCCTGGGTTGCAGGCTCAATTCCCAGTTGGGGGAGAGCAGGAGGCAACCAATCAATGATTCTCTCTCATCGTTGATATTCTCTCTCTCTCTCTCTCTCTCTCTCTCTCTCTCTCTCTCTCTCCCCCCCTTCCTCTCTGAAATCAATAAAAAAATATATATATATTTTTTTAAAAAAAAAGGACACCATCAAATATTTATAAATCTTATCTGATATGGCGTTAGCATCCAGAATCTACAAAGAACTCCAATTTAACGGCAGCAAAAAAATATAAGCTTATTTAAAAATGAGCAAAGGACTTGAACAGACATTTCTCCAAAGGAAACAAATGGTGAATTAGCACATGAAAAGATGCTCAACATCCCTCATCAGCAGGGAAGTGCAAATGACAACCAGGTTCCCTCCCAGGGAGCTTCTGAGAGGGGTGGGGGGTGGTTAGGGTTAGGGTTAGGGTTACTGGCCAGGCTGTGGGGAATTGGAACCCTGTGCATGCTGATGTGACTGTAAAGTGGTGCAGGCGCTTTAGAAAACAGTACGGCAGGTTCTCAAAAAAGTTGTATTTCTGGGTGACCCAGCAATTCCACCTCTGGGCACGCACCCACACTCACTGGAGGCAAGGACGGGAAGAGAAGCTTCTGCAGCCGCGCTCCGGGAACATCCCTCACAGCAGCCAAAGGCGGAGGAAGCACCCAGCTCCCACCAGCAGAGGACCGGGGACCAGAACGGGCTCTGTCCGCACGGCAGGTCCATCTGACACTGTCCACCACGTGCACGAACCGTGAGGACACCAGCCCGGTGAAGCAGGCCACACTGTGAGAGCAGTTCCGTTCACAGAGTGGCGGGGCGGGCGAGGAGGGAGGAGGGTGGGCGGCGTTTCGCAAGAGGAAAGCTCCGGAGATTAATTGCACAACGAGACTGTGCCTAACACTCTCAACCGCACACTTAACATGGTTACATTGGCACACTTGGTCGTGTGTGTTTTACCACAATTAAGATAGTAGGCATAGTTAACAAGTTCTACTGTTGGCCTGAAAGGCTGAAACTGGAAGACAGGTGCATGCCCCGTGTATCCGTGTACCCACCCCATGCACATCGGGGTCTGACAAAGGACATACACCCAACAGGCTGGCGGAGTCAGCGGCAGGCCCCTGGAAGCTTCTCTCCCAAACGATCCGTCTGAGAGTGTCACTGTTCTGTTCTAAATCCTCGGTTCTCTGGCCTAAAATCCTGTTCCCTAAAGAATTAAGGGCCCCACTGGCCTGGCTCAGTGGCTGAACATCAACCTATGATCCAGGAGGTCACAGTTCAATTCCAGGTCAGGGCACTTGCCCAGGTTCTGGGCTCAGTCCTCAGTGTGGGGCATGCAAGAGGCAGCCAATCAATGATTCTCTCATCATTGGTATTTCTATCCCTCTCTCTCCCTCCCTTTTTCTCTGAAGAAGAAGAGGAAAGGAAGGAGAAGAAGGAAGAGGAGGAGGAGGAGGAGGGGAGGAAAAAGGAAGGAAGAAAGAAAGAGGAGAAGGAGGAGGAGGAAGAGGAGGAGGAGGAGGAGGAGGAGGAATGAAGAAGAAAGAGGAGAAGGAGGAGGAGGAGGGAGAAGAAGAGAATGAGGAGGAAGAGGAGGAAGAGGAGGAAGGAAGAAGAAGAAGGAGGAGGAAGAAGAGGAAGAGAAGGAAGAGGAGGAGGAGGAGGAGGAGGAAGAGAAGAAGGAGGAGGAGGAGGGAAAAGGTGAAGGTACAGAGGCCTACGGGAACTCACTGTCTCCGCAGCCCATCTACAAAACTGTTTTCAAATGGAAAGTATGTGTTTTCGGTGATAGATTAGGGCTCCATGGCAGGGCACGGAGGGGTCTGTGCTGCATGACGTGAAGAGAAGGAACTTTCTCCAATGTTCTACCAGTGTGGTTTTAGCCAAAAATAAAAACAAAGAACATACATATAACAAAGAGACTGGAAAGGAATGCACAACAGACATGAACTAGAAACTTGCAACAAATGGAGCAATTAGCAAGAAAAACGTGGTGACCGATCACTGTCCGAGTTTCCGATCCCTCCTGGGGCCATCGCTGAGCGCCGTTCACACATCCTCTCCCGCGGACGGAGGACACCGGATCGTGTGTGACATGCTTCAGGGCGTGAGAGAGCAAAGGGCAGGGACCCTCACCGCGAGCGATGACATTACAGCCCCACCGGGGAGCACCCCACCCCCTCCGGGAGCAGTAATGCAATCGCCTGGCTCCTTGCCGCCGCTCAAAGCCATATAGAAACAATGCTAAGTCCCATTTCTTAAGTCCTGGAAAAACCCCGGTGAAACCAGAGCCTTTGTAAGAGGAGATTCAATCGCAGTGCTTTGAACTGGCTGGACAAACGCATAGTTCGTGTGGGTTACAAAGAGACCGAGCAAGAGCAGGCGAAGCAGGTGTTTGGGGTGGCGAGGCACTGGCAGCCGCTATGGGGACCTGGTACCAGTCGAGTGAGCTCAGACAAATCCCTTCCCTGCTCCCAGTCTCGGTTTTCCTGTCCACAATGAGACTCGTCCACAGCGGCGGTTCTCAAACTGGATCCTGCATTAGAATCACTGGGGCGGGAGGGGGGGAAGGTACAACACCCCTAGCTGGATTCCAACACACACACACCCCACCCCGAGTTTCTGATTCACTGGGTTTGGCGAGGAGCCCCCAAATGTGCATCTCTAAGAAGCTGCCAGGTGGGGCTGATACTGGTGGTCTGGGACCCCACGCTGAGAACCACTGATCTACAACATCTCCGTCACTGGCATCTCAAGGGCTGCGATGAATAAATACAATCAGGGACCTGCTCACACTCTCAGAGTCTTTTCTGCCTCCATCCCTTCACCACCCATGGGCTCATTCACCCATCTATTTATACAACAAATACTGTGCAGTAGGCCTTTGCCAGGGGCTCAAAGATAAACCAACAAGATTGCTGGGGAGACAAACATGCACAGGTGGAATGTTGCCCAAATTGGGGTGTGCACAGGGCAGAGGGATGAGCTGGCAGCAGGCGTCTGGTCTGCAGCTTGGGAAACTGGAGGCTGGGGGGGGCGGGGGGAGGGAGGCAGGGTTGTGGGGGAAGGGAGCCCACAGCTAGGGAAGAACTGCAGCTCAAGGACCCTCCTCTTCCCACCAAGGCAACCTCACTTGTCAGGGCAAAAGATAGGAAGATATTTGAAGACATGCAAAATGTAATTTGCTCAGCAGCTATTTGTCAAGAAACAACAGTCCAAGCACTGTCATGGGCACAGGGGATATAAGAAGGGCAATAAAAAAAAAAAAAAAAAATAAATAAATAAATAAATAAATAAATAAATAAAAAATCCAGCCCTGGCCAGTGTGGCTCAATGATCAGAGCATCTTCCCATGCACTGAAGGGTCATGGGTCTGATTCCTGTTTAAGAGCATGGCATGTACCTGGGTTGCAGGTTCAATCCCTGGACCCTGTAGGGGCATGTGTGGGAGGCAACCAATGGATGCGCCATTTTCACATCAATGTTTCTCTCTCTCCCCCTTCCATCCCTTCCACTCTCTCTAAAAATCAATGCAAAAATTATTCTGGAGTGAGAATTAACAAAACAAAACAAAACAAAACAAAACAAGGGTCTGCCCTCAGTGAGTTTAACATTCTGGTAGGAAGACAGAAAACAAACAGATAAATGAATAGAGAAGAAGTGGCAGGATGTTCTAAGTACACGGAGAAGATAAGAGAACTGAGGGTGATGATGGGTGGTCAGAAAAACACATTCTGAGGGTCAGAGAAAAATGTCATCCCTGTAACTCACCTGGCAAAGGGCTTTAACCAAACAACCAGTCCTCACAGTTAGGGAAGGTGAAGAGGAGAGGGAGCAATGGCGAGCAATACATTTGGCAAATTGGAGAGGCAGATGGATGTATAATGGAGGGAAGGAGAGAAGGAAAGAAAGGAGAGAGGGAGCAAAGGAGGAAGAGAGGAAAATAGATGATGGATGGATGATGGATGGATGATGGATGGATGATGGGTGGATCAATGGGTGGATGATGGATGGATGGATGATGGATGATGGGTGATGAGGAGGGATGGATGGATGGATGGATGGGTGGGTGGAGATAAGTAGATTAATAGAAGAGAAAATAAGTAAGAGGCATTAAATCCAAAGGGATGAAGAGAGACTGTCTGGAAACATGTGATTGATGGGCTCGGTAGAGACTTGTGACACAGAACAAAGTTGGGTGGAACTGGGTGGGAAACTTTTCTCTTTCAAAGGTCTCAGGGTGAAGAGATGGGGACTGGGGGCCAGAGGAGCAAGCAGAGGGGAGTAGTGATTTCTGGAGGCCTATCTCATGGGTGTAGAGCCGTCCTGCGTGCCTGGGGGCCCTGCTCTCAGCCATCCTGTCACTGCTTGCACTGTCTGGGTAATGGAGATGCAGGGCCAGCCGTGCCTGCTCACCCACCCCTACAGCCCAGCCAGTGCCTGGCACCGAGTGGGGTCCTAGTCCAACGGGTGAACCAAAGCGGA